GTTCTCTTTGAGGAGATTGAGAGCTCCAAGGCTGTCCAGTGCCGGGAGGCTGCAGCACGTGCGATCAGCTTCATCAAGGAGAACCTCTTCGATAAGGCCTCAGGGCAGCTCTGGCGCATATACCGTGATGGAAGCCGCGGGGATACCCCCGGCTTCGCCGATGATTACGCATACTTGACGAGCGGCCTGCTTGACATGTACGAGGCTACTTTTGATGACAGCTATCTTCAATTTGCCGAGCGACTGCAAAGTAAGAAAGATCTTGTTTTTTTGGATCGCATTGGCTGACATTTTGATACAGAATACTTGAACGAATACTTCCTGGCCGAATCAGGCTCTACCTCTACCGGATACTACAGCACCTCGTCAGTCGCCACCCCCGGCATGCCCGGCCCACTCCTTCGCCTGAAGACCGGCACCGAATCTGCTACACCCTCTGTGAACGGCGTCATTGCAAGGAATCTTCTGCGCTTGGCAGCACTCGTCGAGGATGAGAGCTACCGGTCCCTAGCTCGACAGACCTGCAATTCCTTCGCGGTGGAAATTATTCAGCATCCATTCCTATTCGTCGGGCTACTGGATGTGATCGTGGGCCTTCAGATCGGCACTCGCACCGTGACAGGCGTTTTCTCTACTGCCGAACTCTCTTCCAACCATGGCGACAGCCCCCTTGGCCGTACCGAAGAACCCCTGTCGGCACGCGACCTGATCAAGCGACGGGTCCGGGCCAAGGCTGGCATGGCAGTGTCCTCATCTATCGTAGTGACCTCGCTTATCGACATCCGTCCCACTCATTTGAAAGACTTTGTCGGTAACCAGTCCTTCTGGCTCAAGTCACGCAACCCGCTCTTCAAAGAACTGAAGGCCGCCGAGCCAGCCAAGAATTACCTCATGATCTGTGAGGCGGGAAAATGCACGATAGCTGACCTATAGCGACGTATGCCATGATTTACTTGGTTGCGTGGGTAATTTCAGGGGTTTGTGGCGTTCTTGCCGTTTGGTCCTTTTGTATACATGCAATGTAGGTTGTATTGAAATTTGAGATCAGGTCTCACGCCCTACATCTGGACCCTGTGGCGGTCTCGAAATGACGTCGCAACTAGTAAAATGGCAGAAAATCGATCATCTAGGTCGATCTACGATCTACATGTATGGCAATGGCCACAGGGTATGGGTACGGTGACGTTTCGGATACACTTTAGGCACCTGTCTCACCCGGGGGTCCCCGGCAACTAACGCCTAACGCTGGAAGTTCCAAGGCTGATGCGAAATTACCGTATGTTACCGGGTTTGATTGGTTGCATTTTCAACGATCGCAATATTGTGTGCGTCGGGTATGTTTCCAATGCACCCAATTTTTCATATCCACCAGGGACGATCCATGGACATTATTGGGGCACGGCTGAACTCAATAAACAGGAAACTGATAAGTTACGATAAGTTACATGCGCTATTGGAAATGTACTTATATTGTGCTTGTACGTGGGAAAAGCGGGCTATTCATCTACTGACATTATGCAAGTTTGGAACCGAAACAAAATACAATCTCGTGGCTGAAACGTCGGCAACGGGGAATTAATCTATCTCAGATCAGCCCGTGCAGTCGAATGGGACCAGACTCAAAGCCAAGTTATTTAGTGGGCGTTGGGCGGTGGGTCTGTGTCGTCTTGTTTGGCGTCTATACTTACTATGATTGGCCCACTTAGGGCAGACTGAAACTGTTCCTGGCAAGGGTTTATGCTCCTCGTCTCCATCACGGTGTTTGATGTCCCGATCTCGATGGGGTTTCTTTTCTTCTTGGTGACATTTTACTGTCCATGGAACTTCCACGGTATTTTCTCTTACTTTTCATTGTTCTTTTCAGGTGTCCACTTGCAACCTTTAGTACGCGCGGCTAGTAGGGACTCTATATAGCGCTAGCGGGAGGGAGGGTCCAGGGGCCCATCACCCTCTTTAATACTCTTTAATACACAGATCCTTAATATCTTTCTATGGAAATTAGCAGGCCAGATTCATCTCTCTCGGAGAATATTTGATTAAGGTCCATGGATCCAGCCTTCTGACCCATACACCAATTGTGTGGGAATATCAGACGCGTTGGAATGTAGTAAGGGATGTGCCAGGCTTGAGGGTGGCCGGGCAAGGTATGTACAATGTCAAGAGGTTGGAGAGATGTCACTGGCATGAACGAAAGCAATAAGTAGTAGAGAGTGCCAATTTGCGTTAAGAAAAGAAGTTCGAAGTTCGAACAATAAGATAGTCCTTAGCATCCTCATCTCATGAAACTAATTTGCGACATTCGCACGGCCCCACCCTCCCCTTTCTACATTTACTCTCGTCCTCCCTCTCTTCTCCCCTTCCTCCACGCTTCACTCTTTTCAGCCTATACGTCCTCTCTTTCTCTTCGCTCTTTGAAGAAAGAAGGTGTCTAGGCCCGTCATTCCTTAAGCGCCTATCTGAAACACTCCTTTTGTCAACAGTCGATCTGTTTGACCCTATCCGACCTCAATCGCAACTTCCTGGGGAAGTCTCTTTGCATCTTTGATCTGTGATCCACGACAAATATGCGTTCTGCTTTGCTCTTCGCCGCTATGGCGGCTGGCGCATGCGCCAAGGTCATTGAGAAGGATGTTTACGTGACCGACTGGACCACCACCACCGTCACCAAGACCGTCACTGCCTGGCCCACCAGCACCGCAGCCACTCAAGTTCTGGTCAAGGAGGACACCATTGACTCCCAGCCTTCCGTCCCCACCGATAACGCCCTGCCCACCGTCGACCTCTCCAAGAAGTCCACCGTGACCGAATCCGCTACCCAGGAGGCCGCGGCTGCCACTCAGGACGCCGTCGAGCAGGCCCCTGCTCCAACCGCTGGCGCCACCACCTGGTACTCGACCTCTTACTGGACTGAGGGTGGAGCTGCCGCGACCACCGAAGCTCCTACCTCCCTGGCTACCACCACTTCCGCCGCCTCTACCGCTACTCCCACCAATGCCTACCAGGAGGCCATCCTATACAACCACAACGTCCACCGCAGCAACCACTCTGCCAACTCTGTGACCTGGTCTGGATCCCTCGCGTCCAGCGCCCGTACTCTTGCCGCCAAGTGTGTTTACCAGCATGACACGTGAGTATCCCTGTATCCCGTTCTCCGATTGTTCAACAATACTGACATTTCATCCCTAGTTCCATTGATGGCGGTGGCTACGGTCAGAACATTGGATACGGTGTTGAGGAGGCCTCTATCGGTGAGATGATCACCAACCTGATGTACAACGACGAGATGATGTACTTCGCCGAACTCTACGGTACCGCCAGCCCCGACATGACCAACTTCGACGCTTGGGGCCACTTCTCCCAGATCGTCTGGAAGGGCACTGAGGAAGTTGGCTGCGCCACCGTCATCTGCGAATCGCTCGGCAACGCCGGCGGCTCCAACGTACCGTTCACCGTGTGCAACTACTCGCCCCCCGGTAACTACGACGGCGAGTACGCCACCAACGTCCTGGCTCCCCAGGGCGCTGCTATTTACACTGCCTAAGTGACTCGGGATGCATGACTGTTCATCTGGAGGAATCACACGTCCGAAATTTGTTTATATGTGGAGTTTGTGCTCTGATCTCCTCGGACCATATACCCTACCATTCCAACTCTCGCCCTTATTCCTCCGTGGCAGTGCTCCGCTTCGCTTATCTTGATCTTTTGTATTCTTTCCCTTCTTGATTATGTGCATGTCTAGTCCGGGCGATCTCGCTCGTGGCACTTCCAGGAGAGCATCAGTCCGTATCCCTCGAGGCTGGGGTTGCTAGTTGGACCCCATACTGTATGTATGCACGCGTGTCTGGCTTTCCTGGAAAGGCATGCAGATACCGTTCAATTGTGAATATTCTTGACATCTTGTCTCCCCCGCAATGTGTTGCGGTTCATTCTGTGGATATCAAAATCTCCGGCGTCTTTTTTTGCAAGCGTGATGTACTCCGTATGGCCAAGCGTGATCATTTTTCTCAACAATACTGGATGTAATGTTTCAATTGTAGTAACTGTAGCTCTGTTGTAGTTGTTAGATTCAGATCACGTGACAGCTCTCCCCGCGTCTCCCTTCGCCCGAAACGTCATCGGCCTTCCGATAATTTCAATCCGGAGTGAATTTGGGTACTTTGACTGTTGGAGGTATTGCTGTATTTGTACGAAGCTACTCGACCTTCACATAACAGAGAATCCTCACTTCATTCATCCCATTGATATTCAACCCCCACCCACAAGCTAAAGCTTCTACCTTGCAGTTACCCTGCAGGGTACATGTCAGATTAGGTGAGTGTTCGTGCGCCCCATCTCATACCGCCCTATGGATTCCTCCCGAACCGCCGGGGATGATGACAGCCCACTCCAGCTTCCACTCTTAGAGGAAACTCTTCAAGCTGCTCTCTCTGTCTTTCTTACGGGATCACAAGAACCGCTCCGAGCAAATCAAATCTAAAATGTCCACGAGTCCCGCTGATATCATCTGACCGCAGAGCCAAGCTCATCCGTTTCTCCGGCGCTATCCTTGCGCTTGTCCACTGTCAGTCCACACCCGGTCAACACCCGGTGAGTGACGGCTGCTTTGCTGTTCGCAGTAAGTCCTTCTGTCCCTCCCCTTAGGTCCGAGGATCCACCCTCTGCCCTCCATCCTCTATCATTTGCATATTTATTGCCTTGTCCTCTCCGTCTCGGGTACCTTACTTCTATTGCTTTCATTCCACTCTACCTATACATTACTCTATACACCTCTTGCTCTTGTCACTTGTCACTTGTCACTTGCCACTTGCGCTTGCACATGCACATGACATAGTCTCAATGCCATCCTACTACCTCCAAGACTGCCACTACTTCTACCGCACTGCCCTACGCCTCCTGTCAATCCCCACCGTCCTCGCTAGTCACTACGCCTAGTCTGGTTTTATCTAGCGTTCACTTGATTCTCCCATTTTGATATTGTGTTGGAATACCCATCTAACAACATGTCTTACTCGCAAACGGCAGTCCGTTTCTTTACAACACCCAAACCACTGGGCGATGCCATGAACGCCGACCCAAACTCAAAGATGACCGAGTCCAACGCCCAGCCCCAGTCTGAGGGCCAGAGCCAGGCCCATACGGTCGTAAAACCGAATGTATCGACCACGGGACCCTCATCAGAGGTTGCAGAACTGCACAAGCCGAAGAGCCAGGGCTTGACTTTTGCGAACCAGGATTCCTTGCCTAAGCTGCCTATTCCTGATCTTGAGGATACCTGTCGCAGACATATTGATGCGCTGCAGGCCCTGCAGGGTCCCAGGGAGCATGAGGATACCAAGGCTGCTGTACGGGATTTCTTGAAGAATGACGGGCCGATCTTGCAGGAGAAGTTGAAGACTTATGCGGGGTCGAAGACGAGTTATATTGAGCAGTTCTGTGAGTTCTGGTGTGAGATTGATATGGGACAAATGCTGATTCATGGCAGGGTATGATTCATATTTGAACTTTGATAATCGTAAGACGAGTTCCCCTATCTTTCAGATGAGGATATCATCTAACGTCTGCAGCTGTTGTTCTCAACCTCAATCCATTCTTTCTTTTGGAAGATGACCCGACGCCCGCTAGAAACCATCAGGTGACTCGCGCTGCATCTTTGGTTATTTCAGCCTTGGCGTTTGTTCGGGCTGTGCGCCGGGAAGAGTTGCCTCCTGATACTGTGCGAGGAATTCCGCTCTGCATGTATCAGTACTCTCGCCTTTTTGGAACCGCTCGTCTTCCCACGGAGAATGGATGTGTCATCAGCCAGTATCCCTCAGCCAAGCACTTGGCTGTTATGTGTCGCGGCCAGTTCTACTGGTTTGACGTGCTGGATGATAACAGTGACTTGATCATGAGCGAGAAGGATATCTCGGTTAACCTGCAGGTTATTATTGAAGACGCTTCGCAGACACCTATTCACCACGCAGCAAAGGGCGCTTTGGGTGTTCTCAGTACGGAGAACCGAAAGATTTGGTCCGGGTTGCGGGATATCATGACCAAAGATCCGAGTTCCAACAACGCCGAGTGCTTGAATATCGTCGATACCGCGCTTTTCGTTCTGTGTCTTGATGACACGGAGCCATCTACCACAGCTGCGCTCTGTGCCAACATGCTCTGCGGTACAAGTGAAGTAATCAAGGGTGTCCAAGTCGGAACCTGCACCAACCGGTGGTATGACAAGCTCCAGATCATAGTGTGCAAAAACGGCAGCGCGGGTATCAACTTCGAGCACACTGGCGTAGACGGGCACACAGTTCTCCGCTTCGCCAGCGATGTGTACACCGACACGATCCTGCGCTTCGCCAAAACTATCAACGGTCAAGCCCCAAGCCTTTGGACAACAAGCAGTCCCGACCCAGCAAAGCGTGACCCACGCAGCTTTGGCAACGTTAGCACCACACCCCGCAAGCTAGAATGGGACATGACGCCCGAGCTAAACATCGCCCTCCGCTTTGCTGAATCCCACCTCTCCGACCTCCTCGGCCAGCACGAATTCCAAGTCCTCGACTTCGAAGGCTATGGTAAGAACTTCATCACCTCAATGGGCTTCTCGCCCGATGCCTTTGTCCAAATGGCCTTCCAAGCTGCCTACTACGGCCTCTACGGCCGGGTAGAGAACACCTACGAACCCGCCATGACAAAGATGTTCCTCCACGGCCGGACAGAAGCAGTGCGCACCGTCACACCGGAAAGCGTGAACTTCGTCAAAGCCTTCTGGGGCGAGAACGCAGCCGAACAAAAGGTTGACGCCCTCCGCGCCGCAACCCAAAAGCACACCGCCATGACAAAAGACTGTTCCAAAGGCCAAGGCCAAGACCGACATCTCTACGCCCTCTACTGCCTCTGGCAACGCTCCTTCGACGAAGGCCTCTTCCTCGACGCAGGCTCAACAGGCGGATACTCAAGCCCAGGCGAAGCCTCCTCGTCCCCAAGACCTGAGTCACCCAAACTCTCCTCCGAACCACCCTACTCAGACGATGGCATGTCTTCACCGAGCGGAAGCAGCACCCGCTACCGCACAACAACAGCGCCCACACCGGCAATCTTCAGTGACGCAGGCTGGGACAAGATAAACAACACTGTCCTATCAACCTCGAACTGCGGAAACCCATGCCTACGACACTTCGGCTTTGGTCCTACATCCGCTGACGGTTTCGGAATCGGGTATATCATCAAAGATGATTCGATTTCTTTCTGTGCTTCGTCTAAACATCGCCAGACGTCCCGTCTTATGCATACCCTTGAATCTTACCTCTTTGAGATTCGGAAGTTGTTGCGCGCTACTAATCGCAAGACTACGAGCCCGCGTACCAGCCGCGCCCGTGAGACGGAGGCTTTGGCTGATGATTTGCAGTCTGAGTCGAATAGACGGGGGAGGCTTGTTCGTCCTGGAGGTGGTGATAGGGCTGGTGTTGATACGCCTACTTCTGCGGCGGATAGTGGGTACATGGAGGATGATGGGATGGGTGGATGTAAGTTTTCTTCTTTATTTGGGTGTTCTGCGGGACTTTACTGACTGAGTTTTTTTAATAGATGGTTTCTTCGATGCTGGTATGCTTCTTCATGCTTTGAAGGGCCTTAATGCCGAGCGGGAATCGCGTGGTGAGAAGCCGGCTAGGAGACGGTTTGTTGGGAAAAAGCTTCATCTTAATGAATATTGATGTTGGTAGGAAATTTAGTGATAGTAGTATTTCTTCGCATCTAGTCACATATCTAGCCGTGTTTGGATGATTTATGACTTGAAGATATATGAAGCAGCCAGAATCTATGTTCAAAGCCTTACTTTTTTGACGCCGAATGGAGACATCCTCAACTTAAACACTTGGACGGTAAACAATCCATCCAAATCAATCAAAGATAAAAAGAAATAAACAAATACTGTATCCAGCATAAAATATCCCCAGTATAAACTCCCATATACCAACTCTCGGCAAACAGTGGAAAAAGCCCAAGCTCCGACACCGGCTTAGCCGACGTAGCCGTCTTAATCACAAAACGCCGTCTTAACCCCATACCCCATATCCCCCTCACATCACCCATACATCCCCAATTACACATTGCATGCATAAATCCCAAAAAAACGAAGCCAGTTGAAGGTGTACAAATCCCTAACCCACCACTCCCAATGCCCTTCCAACCCCTCCCAAAGCGCCCGTCCGCCCTAACACTATGGCGCACATCCCTAACAAGACGACACTTCACAACCACCCGACGCGTCGACAACTACGCGGATACATTACCGAATCTAAAGATTGGTGCACATACTAGGGTCCTCTTCCAGGGGTTTACGGGTAAACATCCTATCCAATCCCAATTCGCTATAACACAAAAATAACTCATGGAATACACTGCTAACACCGCAAAAAAGGGAAACAAGCAACAGCCAACGTCAAGGAATCCCTAGAATGGGGGACGAAGATTGTCGGTGGCGTCAAGCCAGGTGTCGAAGGTGAACATTTGGGATTACCAGTTTTTCCGTCTGTTAGAGTGGTAGGTTATATTATACTACACTATTTGATTTGTTGATTTCTTGATTTTTGATGATATAATGTCATATAACTAACTCCTTATCCAGGCACAAGAAAGAGCAAAACCAGATGCATCAGCCATCTACGTCCCAGGCGCACAAACCGCCCAAGCAATCGAGGAAGCCATCGAAGCGGAGATTCCGCTTGTTGTTGCTGTTGCGGAACATGTTCCTATCCATGATATTCTTCGGGTATGAAAACGTTAACTTGCTCTCCCTCCCCCAGTGATGCGCTGTGTCTTTCTAACACATTCAAACAGATCCACTCAATACTAAAAACCCAGTCCAAAACCCGCCTTGTAGGCGCCAACTGCCCAGGCATAATATCCGCCATAGGAAAATGTCGCATAGGCTTCCAGCCACTGCCCTGCTTCGCACCGGGGAATGTAGGCATAGTGGCTAAATCGGGGACATTGAGTTACGAGACCGTTGCGTCGACGACGCGCGCGGGACTGGGCCAGAGTCTTTGTATTAGTATGGGTGGGGATGTACTTGCGGGTACTAACTTTGTTGATGGGTTGAGGATCTTTGAGGATGATCCTGATACTGAGGGAATTATTTTGGTTGGGGAGATTGGGGGCACGGCGGAGTTGGATGCTGCAGAGTGGATTAGGGGGTATCGGGCTAGGGTGAGGGATCCTAAGTATGTCGTTCTCTTCTCTTCTTTGGTGGTATCTTTGATTTTCGTGGAGGGTTTGATGGGATGGTTTGCTGATGTTTGTGTTTGTGCAGGCCTATTATGGCGCTTGTTGGTGGGCGTGAGGCTCCTCCTGGTCGCATTATGGGCCATGCTGGGGCTTGGGCTGCACCTGGTGAACCTGATGCTGAGACCAAATATCGTGCACTTGAGCGTGCTGGCGCGGTTATGGTTGATCATCCCGAGAAGTTTGGTGCTGGGATGAAGGCGTTGTTGAACAGTCGGGCTAGTCGCCCGGGAATGGGTGTGAGTTCTTTTCTTTTCTTTTCTGCGTCGAGTCTATCCGAGATGTTGATATACTAACATGGCGACAGTCAATCGCTGGAGTAGGCTCCCAAAGGCGAGGTTTGCATACTATGAGACGAGTAGCTCCAGTCTTGAGATCGATTCCCAACCAAAAACGCGGTCTATACATCAAGCAGTTTCAGGCATTTGATCTCCTCAAGCAGAAGTCCGTCCCAGTCAATGAAACGTCTTCTGACTCTGATTTCTCTGTCTCTATTGCTGTTGATCGAACAGCTTTATCTCCATGCATCATTGCATCACCGACTGCTGAGTTTGACCCGACAAAGTCGCGCAAGTTTCCTTTCCCGTACACCCAAGCCGAGTTTGATGGAAGCCCTATTATTGCCGACGCTGCTTCGCACTTGGGTTTGTCGGCTTCTGGTAATGAGAAGCTTGCCGGCTTGGTGCAATCCCTTTGGGAAATCTATAAGGAGAAAGAAGCCTTCGTTCTGGAGACACGGGTTGGTATCTCTGCTGGTGGATCACCGGAAGTCCACGGTGCTCGGTTTGGATTCGATGATGCGGCATATCGCAGCTCAGGTCGTCAGGAGGGAATTCACAAGTTGAGAAATACTTCCGAGGAGGTTCCGGAAGAAGTTGAAGCTGAGAAGGATGGCATTGTCTATGTCAAGTAAGTCGACACATAATGACAGATACTTGCATATTCTGACAGAGAGAAACAGGCTGGAAGGTGAAGGCAGCGTTGGCACGCTAGGTAAGTCACGCACCACTTTACGCCCATCTAACCCAGGTATTCACGTTCAATGAACTAACAGCATCCCCCAGTAAACGGAGCCGGCCTCGCCATGAATACAGTAGACGCCCTAACAATACACGGCGGTCACTGTGCCAACTTCCTTGACACAGGTGGCAAAGCCACATCCGAAACAGTCAAATCATCATTCCGAGTAATCTGCTCTGATGCGCGCGTCAAAGCGATCTTCGTCAACATCTTCGGGGGATTAACTCGCTGCGATATGATTGCCGAGGGGATCATTTTGGCGTTCCGGGACCTGAATATGCAGGTTCCTGTTGTTGTGCGATTGCGTGGTACAAATGAGGAATTGGGGCAGAAGATGGTATGTGTTGGCTTGTTACTTGGTGGCTCTTGGTCCTTAGTTGTCCTGTTGCTAACTGGTGGTTGTAGATTGCGGAGAGTGGGCTCCCTTTGCATGCTTTTGATGGGTTTGAGGAGGCTGCGAAGAAGGTTGTTGCTTTGGCTAGGGGGTAGGGGTTGGTGTTTTAGAATGATGTATATACAGGTGTAGATCGGGTCTAGTATAGACTTCTGCGCATTCAGTTCCAGTATATGGAAATCTTGGTGAGGATATTCGATGAGCCTCTCCTCGCATGCGACAGACCATTAGTAATTGCGAGAATCGTCGGCTCGACATAGAAGTGGTGGTTACACCTACGCCAATACATATCCGACAGGTTGTGCACGAAAAAAAAAAAAAAAAAAAAGCAAGAAAAGCTACAATCTTTTTACCAAAGTCTAATTTGTACCAGCTTAAATACCACTCTAATATGTACAATATCTATCCAGCCAATATATTGTAGCTGTTAACCTAGGAATCGAATTTAGGTTCAGCGTTCTGTATATGACTATTTGGAACATAATATCAAAGATGGCCGAATATCCCATCAACCAGCCAAGTGGTCGAGCAGTAACTCGGTCATTCAATCTTCCTTGGTCTAGTGGTGATGATTTCCGCTTGTCATTAAAACCGATAAGCGCGGGAGACCGGGGTTCGATTCCCCGAGGGAGAGTTTCTTTTTTTTGCACTTCTTTTTTTGACCACCATGAGGCACTTTGCTTTTATCACTCAGTATTCTTTTGTTGTTTAATCTGGGGCAAAAAAAGGAAGGAAACCCAGAAGCGCCCTTTCTAAAAATATGATGTTGGTTATAATACAACAGGTGTCAGCCACTGGTGAAGTATTAGTAGTTTCTACACAAAAGCCGAGTTTTCCGTTTCCTATAGTTTTTTTGCCCTACTTTGACCTCTCTTGCTTCACCTCTTTTTTGCCTATTTTCGAGTGCCTCGGGTTAAAGTTGTTTGACAATGGTGGGTTAATGATAGAGTCCTTATGGCCTATGAGTAACACACCCCATCTAGCTTCCATAAAGTCCTACAGATAGTTTCCCAAAATCCGCACCAGTAACCTGGTCTTCCTCGAACAGGCCATCAGATCATCAAGTTTAGTCTTACATGTCAATCTCATCAAAAGAATTCTTTCTCTCTATGCTCTAGGTCCTTGAGGTCTAGCACAGATCCGTCCTCATTGAGCCCTCTGCGCATCTCTTTGAAAAGATACCCAGGATGAGCAATGCACAGTGCAACAACAGCCGCAACGCACATGCTAAAATACGAGACCCGTTAGCATATTCGGCATTAAAACAATATACACCCCACGCCGACTTACGCAGATTCAAAAAGAGTGAAGCTAAACTCGTCCTGCATGATGTCGTTCTTCCACCCACCGGCCATCTCTACAACACTGCAGACAAATCAGCAAGTGCAAATTGCAAAAGGGTGTCCAAGGAACTCACCGGTAGACACAACGGATATAAGTAGTAGCAAATGCAATAGCAATGCCCCAGAAGAACGACCAAAACTTCTGACTTTTCCAAACCCTCTGAGCCTCAAAAGTCAACTCCTCTTTCGGGGCACCTTTGATGCGCAAAAGGAAGTGGGCTGACCCCAATCCAAAGACCGTCAGAGTGATCACCTGCCAGACAATCCCAGCCATCATGATATCGCTGCCCATGTCGATCTTGCTAGCTGTCTTGGCTGTAGCTGAAATGCCACCGCCAGCACCTTGAAGAACCAGAGAGATGATATCACAGGTGACAAATATATAGGGATACCATTTCGCCCGTATAAGCGAATATTGCGATCCCAATACAGTCACTTTATGCTTCAGTGTCAGGTATATAGCAGCAGACCAGAAAGCGGGTGCGAGCGTCAGCGTGCAAATCTGCATTTGGAATCCGATTGATGAGTACGGGTTCTGGTTGAGGAGTATACGACCTATATAGCCTGTTTGCCTGGTGAGTCTTTGGTTCCATTGCTAACTTTAACACAAGGAAACGATATTAGCGTACCAATCACTTCGGTTAACGCCCCGAGAATGACAGAAATGCTGAACGACCATAGACGCCATCTAATCATCTGGGCTAGCTGGACCAGACAGCAAATGAAGAATATGACACAGAATTCGACGGTTGTGGAATAATTTGGGGCATATCCGTAGATCGTTCCTTCCACTGGACATTCTGGCGTCACCTCTTTGCAGGCGTAAGTTGCAGCGCGAGTCGTCAACATTGATTTGAGGTAGTGGAAAGTAACAGTTCTGATAGGAAGGGGATTATCCTCTGCCATTTTGTTCTACTCTGCAGCGAGGACTGCGTGTATAAGTAATTTAAACAAAAAATGACAGAGAGTGTGGCCGATGAACATATTCGGTTTCATACTCATCGAAACAGGCATAAAGACAAGTTTTTGAAAAAGAAACTTCACTAATTATGGACAGGGCGTTCGAACAAAAGCCTCCCTGAAACTCGAGCAAGGATCACAACCCCCTTGGCGACAAGGTACATATTCGCGTAAATGAATGATGACAGGGTGAAGTCCTGCAGAACCTCAATTTTCACGCCCTGTTCCAGGAAAATGCTAAGCATCTAGTGTGTTTCACAAGACAAGTCCCCAATGATAGACCCGAGGTATACTCCCGAGGCATACCTGCATCCTCAGGCAGAAACACCCGAAGTGGTCTAGCCCTTCTCCACGATCGACCATGTCACTGACGCCATGTTCTATTTCGAGTGTCTGGATCTATATATATTCGCTCATTCCCACAACCCCATTCAAAATCCCCCTTTCTCCCAATTCCTACGTGCTACACCCACCAATTCCAACCTCACACATTATGTCCGACACAGGCGCCGAGCTCCAATCCGCCCTTCGCAACCTATCCATTGGCGAAAAAGGGTCCATTCCGGAAATCGCCCGACCAACAAAGAAAGCCGCAGGGCCTAGCACGAGAAAACCAATCACCAAGAAGCCAAAACCAGTCGCAGACTCCTGGGAAGACGAGGCAGACTCAGACTCAGAAGCAGAGCCGGAATCGGAACAAGACGTCCAACCCCGCCCCGAATACGCCGCCCTCTCGCCAACTCTCAGCGCAGGAGAGGGACCTCTCGACCCGCCTCCAACACCTATATCCCCACAAACATCCAATCCATGGGGTGCCAGTGCTAGAGCATCATCGCCCGCCTCGAAGGATGGACCTGCTCGGCGGCCTGAGAAGCAGACTGCTGTTGCGTCGCGGTTGATTGCTGGTGCGTTGGGGATCCGGGCGCCGAAGAGAACAGAGGAGCAGAGAGCTTATGATCGGTCTGTTAAGGAGCAGGAGATTCGGCGCCGGAAGAAGGAGAAGGAGGAGGAGGCTAAGGCCCAGGAAGAGAACGAGAAGGCGAAGAATGCTGTGTGGGATAATTAGGTTTAGCTTGAGGGCATCTTGGTTGTATTACAATATTGGGCTTTCTTTATGTATGTGTGTATTTTCACTGGGGTTGGGTTGTTGATATCTGTGGGTTTCCGGCTGGTCCGTTGGAGAGCTCGGTGGGTATTTCTTTGCTGTTTCGTGTTTCAGGTGGTGGGATATTTGGATTGCCATGTATAGGTAGATATTTCTGTCTAGCTGGGCGGGAAGACGGGAAGACTTAATACTAATGCTTTCATTATCTGGACTCTGGAATCGATTGACTGATAGCTTGTTGGCGGAACACGCTTAAGCATAAGCACGACATAGATCGTGACGCGCTGGATTGGTCAAATCCTTCCAGATATGGCGGATTTAGCATGGAAGGCTGTCAGGCTGCGATTCATGCATGTCATTGAGCTTTCTTAAGTAAACGGGAAAGGGAAGCCCCCACCCACGATTCCCATTGCTATCCTCCTTGGTCGCGTGATGGCCTGAAGGTGACGACAGGCGAAGTAAGCCAGGTCGACCTTAGAACTTACGTCGTAATTTGTCTATTAGAATTGGAAGCGATACAAGATAAGTAAAGTTGCACTACAATCTAAACAGATTGAGTGACTTTTGTAGATTCGTGTCTCATAAAAAAGCCATGTAACTCCCTTCCCTGGGCCATGAATGAAACATCTATCAAGAACCCGTAATCAGCTCATGTCACCCCTCCCTCATCCGTGGGAACCACATTATCAACCGCGTCCTGGCAACTCGAGATGCACAGAGTGAGATGTTTAGCAACCTCCAATCTGCTCCTGGTGGACCTCCAGGGTATCGCCGTCGGCCATGTCAAGCTGTTTGCAGTGGTTAGTTCAAGATCTCAAAAACCCAACATGACAAAAAAGAAGAAAAAAATGGAAAGGACCGTACGGTTTCGGGGGAGTCCTCAGGACGGACTCGGGTACCGTCAAACAGGAAGCGGACAGTTGAAATCTGCTTTCCCTGACGTTCGCAGAACGCATCCATCAGCTTCTTGAGCTGGGTGGTCCGCTTGATCTTAAAAAAGACCTCATTGTTGTTATCCGTGACCTTAATGTTCAGGTGTTCGGTGGGTGGCGCGCCGCCTTCCTTGTCAGACATTTTGGCTGATATTTGTTAGATGACTGATTTTGCAGACGCGACGTGGCGACAAGCCAGGAGGCTCACCTGAGTGGTAATGCTTGTGAAATGAGAATAGTGCGGGGTCTTGAAAGCGAGTCTGTCTGGAGTGTCGGAGGATGGTTAGAAGAGAAATTCAAAGAGGAAAGAGATGATGAGACAAGGACGAAGGACTCACTCGGTAGACTGGAGCAGTGGACGGTAGTGAAGAGGGCAAGTTGAAGTTGGAGAGAAGAGAGAGAGATCAGCGGCAGAATAGCGCCTCGCCCCCACGGCTTTAAAGCGGTGAGATTATTTTGCCATGCGGATTCCGGCTCACACTGCTTTCATCGTTCAACATACAGTTTGTCTTTGAAGCATTCCATTATGGTATGAGATGTCACTAAGAACTTCACAAATAGATACTGAGAAGCTGTAGGGGAACTTAAAACAAGATCTGTCTCATGAACCACCCTGTCACCCGCGCGCTGTATGTCTCCTGAAGCCTTACTGATACCCTGGCCTTGCTAACAATGCCAGTGCGCCATCCAAGGTATCTGAGAACTAGTCCAGACATATGACGACAGTCTCTAACCGAAGCTAGATTGCTTGACCAAGAATTCGTTTAAGGAGGACAAGTGCCAGGCACAGGTCGACGCTTTATACGAATGCTGCAATGCCTTTTACCAGGACCGAGGAGACCAGGCGTCGACCGTCAGCTGCCCCAAGGCCAATTTGCTGCGTCTGAAGATGAGACAGCGAGCACAGGCAGCAGAGGGCAAAAATTAGATCCCTGTAGACTACAATGTACATAAAGAGTTGCCTCCACAGGCATGTCACAATTCCCTTGCTGTCTGAGCTCCCATATAGAGGAAACCAGGCTAATTGAAGAACTGCAATTGTTCTAAGACAATCTTGAGCACGCAGAGAGGCCTCAAGGACCTGAACGAAAATTGAGCTTTCGTTCCGAGACTCTAATGAAAGCCTAATGACATTTGTGGAAGAAAAAAGAAGAAGAAGAACGGCGGAGGAGAAAATTCGATGAAATAGGTTCTCTATTGGCGCTAATCTACATTGGGGTTAGTCCGCCAACGCGCCCAAAAACCAAAAGAGACAAACACACGGCAATTCCTCAGAGCTTCTCTCTCCCTTGTCACGCCTCTCATCATGGCGCCCTTAACTCGTTCCGCTCGAACTGCTTCCTCGGGGGGTAACCTGTTCTCACAGGTATGTCTCATGTCTTTTTTCTTTGACTTCGCTGATCTGTTATAGGCATTGCCTCCTCCTAGGCAGAATGAGATCATCAGTGTTGAGGAGGAAGAGGACCAAAGCGGACCCTTTGACGAGAATGAAGGGTCAGAGGGTGAAGAACCAACATCCGAAGATCAGGATGAGGACATGGATGAAGACATGGATGGCGTGAATGATGAGGAATCGGAGACCGGCTCTGAGGAGTCGGAACCTGAGCCTGCTCTGCAGTCTGTTTACGAAATCCCGGGCAAGGGACAAGGTTGGTTTACACATAAACATTCGAATGACATCCACTGATGGATCGCAGATACCCCGCTGTTTACAGCCGCGGGCGCCCAAGAAGCACTGCATCCCCTTCGCCGAACCGCCGACCGCGTCACTCGTCAAATTGAAGCATTCGCCGACAAGCTCGATCAGTTCAAGCGCAAAAATACCACCGACGATTTCCAGAATGTCCAGGCAGCTTACAAACTGGTGGAGAGCTACCGCGATCTTGCGAAAGACGCCATCAAAGAAATTCAGACACAGCAAATCACCAACCGACACCGGGCGAGCTATCGAGCAAGCGATGTGAAATCTCACGAGCAAATCCAGCGATTGCAACTCGAGGTTGATACCTGGCGTCTTCTGCTTAACCTGATCAGTATCGATGATCCTGCCAGTCGGGCTAGCTTCAAGGAAGGCCGCCAGACAGCTTTCCAGAACCTCCACCGCTACTCATCTGATCGCGAGATCTGGGAGGAGTTTTTGAACGCCGATCAGTATGGTCTCGAATGTGTTGTTGCTATGCGATGGCTAGAGGAGACCTCGAAGACCAGTACACAGGATTTTGATGATTTGATCGCGCAAATGGAGGCGCGCTCGGAAAGGGGCCAGGGATTATGGTCGCATGGCTGGCTTTACACCAAGGAGGCGATCAAGGGTCATAAGCGACTACGCGCATGGCCACAGCCTCTTGAGCCGAATGACCCGGGCATCGCGCGCTCGCTTTTGAGCACCGAGGAACAGAAGCCACTGGTCACACAACTCGATCCCGATGCTCTTACTCGACAGAAGCACGGTTTGGAAAAGCAGGATGAGATCTACGAACGCGCCACCTGGGTGACTTGTTGGAAGATGCTGAGACAAGGCGAGAACTGGACGAAGATTCGTGAATGGGCAGAGGGCCGTTTAGAAGGATGGAGAGCTGTCAGCTTGTGTGGTTCTAGCGTGGATGATAATGCGCCCAAGACTCGGTTTCCAATCGATGATGGTCACACGCGACTGATGAATAGTCGGGCGCACGATTCATGGCGCACCGCTTGCGCAGCCCTGACACGCAGCCCTAACACTGATGACTTCCAGCGGGCAGTCTATTCGCTACTTTCTGGCGAGACTGATGCTGCCTCCAGTGTCTGCCGCAGCTGGGACGACCACCTCTACGTGTATTTCAACAGTGTCGTGCTCCAACGCTACCGGGGATTCTGCACGCAATTCCAGCGCAAACTCAGTCTCTCACCCAGCACCCCTGTATCATTCACACCGGAAGCGCCTGGTCATGCCGACCTCCAGAAGTTCCTGGTATACCTCAGAGGCGTTGAACGGATCAGCGGCGAAGCGCGCAATCCATTCCGCAACATCCAAGCCGCCATTCTCAGCAAGGGCTACGACTCTTTCTTCCCGGCCCTAGCTCAAGCTGTCTCGCAGCTTAGTGCCGACAAATATGGCAAGGCATCCATTGTTCCAGAGCTTGCGCATAGTCCTGTGGACGAATCGTTCCTCATTGCTGCCGATGACGAGGAGGCTCTCAGGATCGCTACACATACTTACATTGTGGCCAGCTCGATGACCTATGCTCGCGCAGACACCCATTTCTTCGAACAGGCGTCAGTGATCATTGCTGGATACATTGCCACCCTGGAAGAAAAGTGCCTATTCGACCTCATTCCACTTTACGTGTCTCTTCTTCCTACTGAGATGGCCAATAGTGTCTTCTCTAAAATTCTTATTGAGATCATCGACCCCGAAGAGAAAATGCAGCAGGTCCGACTCATGCGGAGATATGGAATCGACGTTGAAGCCGTTCTTGAAGTTCAATGGTCGTGGTTGAGCGCCGATGTTCCCACAATCGATCACTCCAGAGACGTCACTGGGTATTCAAGAGTGGTGCGACGACCTGACGGTCTTCGAGCGCTGGTGTCACCAAAGACCGATTTGATTGGCACTTCTGTCGCCGATGAAGACGAGAAGATGATCCGTAGTCTGGAGTGGTTCCGCGCCGTTGACGGTCAATGGGACAAGATTTGTGAGCTCGGCGCTTGGCTGTATCGCAAATTCTTCGGTATGTTGTGTTATTCTCTCTTTCAATTCCCAGCTAACTGACAATTATCAGTTGCTGATAAGCTTGCCGCTGCTCGCGAGTTGAGCCTCCGTATGCGATTGTCTGATATCTCGATTGAAAAGTTCGGCTCCGATATCATTTCAATACCCCCACAAGAGAATCCTGTTGAGGCGTCCACGCCAACCAGCCCGTCTAAGTCCAAGAGAAACAGCCTTCACAGGCGCAGCACCTCCAACTCTAGCAACTTTGGACTGGTGGCAGCATGGTACCAATGCCAGCGGATGTCTGATCTAGAGGTTTTGACCCTCGGATTTGATACAGTGGAACAGTTTGCTCAGATTCACGAGCAGATCTCTAAGTAAGTACTCTCCCATGTTATCTAAATACAAAGCTAACCAGCGCAGGACTAGACGTCGACGTGACTCGGGTGCCGTCACCGACATGACCGATGAAATGCATGATTGTGTGACTGCAATGGAGGACTATTTGGGACTAGTGGTCAGCGACGACTGGCTCGTCACATCTACCGATGCCGACGAAGAAAAAGACTACGATAAAATCCGAACTACCTACCTCCCAGAACTGGTCCTCGACTACCACAACGCCATGCACTACGCCAGCCACTGCCTTGAGAGACACGACCTGCTGACCCAGTGTATGATCGTATCGGTCTGGGTCGCAAACTTCAAGCACCTGACCGACGCCTTCACCAAGTCCCGACGCATGGCCGAGCTCGTTGATGCACTGGCATTGTCCAGTAAGGCGATGGTCAATCGGAATCTCGAGTTCCAGCTGTCCAATAAAAAGAAGGACCACCACTTTGAGAAGGGCCAGGAATTGAAGATCTGGGACGTTGAGATCCCCCAGAAAGAAGGTGAAACTCGGCTTCATAATCTCCCGGAGATGTGAGAGCGTCAATATGTTCTGTGTACATTAGCATGGTCCTGTCTTTTTTATGGCGAGGTTTTGATATCTGAATGAATGGCAGGACAGGGTTTTACAATTATGACAGGTCCTTAAATCTTTACGTCAATCGGATATCGCCTTTGAATGCAGCATCGTCTTCAATTCATCAATTTGATTGGAATTATCAGTATCATCCCTCCATTAGCTTTTCCTGTTGATCAGTATTTGCAAACACAAAACACAAAACATGAAATGCAAACCTAGAACTTTTTCCCAATAGATCACTCGTAAGGCTCCATCAACGAATTCCCAAGCACTTTCTCCGAAAATTCCTTACCCAACGCAGTACTATGAGCCCAAGGCTTCAAATCAATCTCCGACTGAACAGTAGCAGCAAAACAACGACTCCAGCGCATCCGCGGGAAATGCACACAAACATCCTTGATAGTATCAGCATGAACGAGATCAGCATAGGCGCCGGTATTATCTAAAAAGGTGTACAGATGAGGATCAGCGCACAGATCAAAACACAAGGTTAAGTTAAGGGTGAAATTTCGAAACACGGGATAGCAGAGAACAATATGACGTATCAAACGGAGATGGATACGCATATCCCGTCAAATAGTAAAGAATCATTCAAGCCTTGGCTTGGCTTGAACTGTAAACAAAGGAGAAAAAGGAGAAGATGTACAACACTTACCAAAGATCGTCGCCAATTGCAATAGCTGCCCCACAACCGTAATCTTGCCTACATGGCACAAATCCTGATGCCGGATAATCGCCTCCGCCACACTCTCCGCTTGTTCACGAGGGGCCGTAGCGTTGGCATTAGTAGCGGTTGTAGTATCAGTAGCAGTCGCAGCAGCACCGCTGGCAATAGCGCTGGCACCAATATCAATCCCAGTTCCAGTCCCAATCTCCACCCTCTCCCTATCATCAACATCCTGCAAAACCCTCAAAGCAAGCATCCCCCCAAAAAACTCAAAACTCAACCTAGTAGCACGTAGATTCTCCTTCGTTGTCCCAATATCATGCAACACACACGCAAGGAAGTAAGTCTCATGATCGAAATCCCAGTCCGGGAATGAACGTGCTGGGAAGCGGTATTGTTTTATTGCTAGGCCGTAGTGGTATACGCGCATAGAGTGGTTGTATGTTTCTTCTGCTAGGTGGTGGCGTGCGTATGCGTTTATGCGTTGGGCTAGTGGGGTGTTTGGGATTGGTGTTTCTTGGACAGGGATTGGGCCTGGGGGGTGGGTTGGGGGTGGGTTGTTTGGTGAAGTGAGTAGGGCATCGGCTGAGGCTGGGACGGCGGTGAGGCCATACATGTATTTGTTGTTGGACATGTTTGGGTTGTGATGTGGTGTGATGTGGATGAGGTCTAAGTGTTGGGTGGGTTGCGTGGCTGTGTAGTTGGAGATGGAGATAGAACCGATGATATCAGATTTGCGTTATCTACTTTGTTACCTCTACACCTTGGTTTTGGGTTTTATAACGGATGCTAGATTTGCAGAGATATAAGGCTTCAACTTAAGCTTGTCTAATTCTTAAGTTATTTCTATTTGCTACTAGGCATAATCCAAAAGATTCACTTTAGGTGCTCAGGGGGGTTCCCGGTAACATACATTAGAAGGGTAATTATTTCTGTTTCGGGAACAATTTCCTCTGAGGTTACATGATCTCATGTCTTGGGCATCACTAGAATAAAGTGTGTCGATCTCCCCATAAGTTACAGAGGAAACGGGAAACGTCACCACTCACATTAATAATTTAGCTCCAATTTTCAGACTAGCATAATATGTGTGCAAGTGTCAACGAGTGCATAGGCGCCTAGACTTCATATAATTCACATTATTCATTAGTTGACCCCCGTCGACTCCGTAATTTAATCCGCCCCTATTGGAGGCTTGGCAGAGTGAGGCAGTGCAGGCGCTATAGAGCTTGGTATTTGCCATTCGGCAAACAATGCCTGACCATTGAAAACTCTGACAGTAGGTAATCAGAGAGTAATCAAGTGTAAATAATTAGTTAGACAGTTAAAATATAGCATAATTAAGCTGTACTTACTAGCTACTTACTAGCTACGTAGTGTAGAGTTGAGCTGGGGCTGTGCTGTGGAGATGCGGGAGGATTAAGTGATAAATCATAGATCGAGACCGGTGTGGACCGCAGGGGTTGTCATATCTCCTTTCTCTTTTCTTTCCTTGCCTCTTAAGTTCCTCCACTTACTGTACTCTCCCTTACACGGGCTCTGGCTTATTCCATCTCATGAGCCTATCAACAGCTCCACTGTCGCGTGAACCGCGCTCGGATTGAACCATGTCCGATTCACGCCCTGATGAGCCGACTCAACAGTCGGCTCCCCTACGTCGAGAGCGCGCGCCAACGATCACCATCGATACCTCGGCCGTGAACTCCTCAGAACCCTCCCATCCCCCGTCCCAAGTCGCGGGAGCTCCCCATCCATCCATCCAGACCTACACAGAACATGCCCACAGCGACACGAGTGCCCTGCTGAACAACGGCAGCGTCTCCCCAACAGACATGCGGTCTCCAGCCTCACTCCGCTCGAATGCCTCTTCTGAAGGTCGGGATCACGAGAACCGCCCAACATCCCCACACAACATCTCCTCGCCCAAGACCAAGGTACCCGAGACACACTCGAACTTCCTCTCCGTGCCCGGAACCCGGTCCCGAGGCAACTCCCTCGAGTCAGAGGATACAAGCCAGACATCGAGCACCTACGGCGGGGAGACGTACGTGACCTCAACATCGCGCGGATCAAGGTCTGACCTGATCAAGAACCACAACGTGGACGTGGACGATGAAGACGCGTTGAAGCCAGACCCCGGCCGGGAGTCCGAGTTCGAGGTCGAAGATAACAAGTTCGCCTTCTCGCCTGGCCAGCTGAACAAGCTGCTCAACCCGAAGAGCTTCGGCGCGTTCCGTGCACTGGGTGGCTTGCGCGGTCTGGAAAAGGGGCTGCGGACTGATGTCCGAAGTGGGCTGAGCGTGGATGAGACAACCCTCGATGGGTCGGTTAGCTTCGACGCTGCTGTCTCACCTGAGCAGACGCCCAAATCTGTTTCTCCGAATCAGTCGCCACCAGCTGCTACCGAAGACTCGGTTAAAGGTGGAGAGGATTATACCGATCGACGACGGATATTCGGTGACAATAAGCTGCCGGAGCGGAAATTGAAATCGATCTGGGAGCTAGCTTGGATTGCGTACAATGACAAGGTCTTAATCTTATTGACCGTTGCGGCTGTTATTTCCCTTGCTGTGGGTATTCCGCAGTCGCTTCATCCAGCAAATCCGGATGAACCTGGTGTTGAATGGGTGGAGGGTCTGGCGATTCTAGTGGCCATTATCATTGTGGTTACAGTCGGCGCAGCGAATGATTGGCAAAAGGAACGGCAATTCGCGAAACTCAACAAGAAGAAAGAGAACCGGCAGGTTAAGGTCACTCGGTCTGGCCGGATAGAAGAAATTTCGATTCACAATGTTTTGGTTGGCGACGTGATGCTTTTGGAGCCGGGTGATATGGTCCCCGTCGATGGTATTTTTATCGAAGGCCACAACCTCAAGTGTGACGAATCTTCGGCAACTGGTGAGTCTGATGTTCTCAGAAAGACTCCCGCCGAAGAAGTCTATCGGACGATCGAGCACCATGAAGATCTGAAGAAGATGGATCCTTTCATCATTTCCGGTGCCAAGGTGTCCGAGGGCGTTGGTACCTTTTTGGTTACTGCTACTGGAACGAACTCGACTCATGGTCGGACGATGATGTCCCTTCAAGAGGAGGGTGAGACAACTCCTTTGCAGACTAAGCTCAACGTGCTGGCTGAGTACATCGCCAAACTCGGTCTCGCATCGGGTCTCCTACTCTTTGTGGTTCTGTTCATCAAATTCCTGGTCCGGCTCAAGGACATTGAGGGTGGCGCAGACGCCAAGGGTCAAGACTTCTTGCAGATTTTCATTGTGGCCGTTACTATCGTCGTCGTCGCTGTGCCGGAGGGTCTACCACTGGCTGTCACGCTCGCTCTCGCCTTTGCAACAACACGAATGATCAAGGACAACAATTTGGTTCGCTTTCTCAAAGCCTGTGAAACTATGGGAGGTGCCACCACGATCTGTTCTGATAAAACGGGAACTTTGACGGAAAATAAAATGACGGCAGTAGCTGCAACTTTGGGTACTTCTTCGCGCTTTGGAAAGTACTCTGGTGTTTCACCGGAAGACTCGTCTGAGATTTCTCCGCAAGAATTTGTGTCTACGCTGTCTGATTCTGTGAAGGATGTTTTGCTCCAGTCAATCGTCTATAACTCCACCGCCTTCGAAGGCGAAGTTGAAGGAGTGAAGACATTCATTGGTTCCAAAACCGAGACTGCTCTCTTGACTTTCGCCAGGGATCACCTTGGAATGGGGGTCCTCGGCGAAGAGAAGGCCAACGGCAAGATGGTGCAGATGTACCCATTCGATTCTGGACGGAAATGCATGGCAGTAGTGATGCAGCTGGAAAACGGCAAATACCGAATGCTCGTCAAGGGCGCTGCTGAAATCCTGATCTCCCACTCGACACGCATCGTACGTGATCCGACTGACGCTCTGTCTGAGGCTCCCCTCTCCGAGGAGAACAAGACAACACTGGATACCATCATGACCAACTACGCCTCACGCTCTCTCCGCTGCATTGCCCTCGTCTACCGTGACTTCGAGCAGTGGCCACCCCGCGGAGCCCCGACATTGGAAACCGACCGCAACCAGGCTGTCTTTGAGCCTATCTTCAAGGACATGGCAGTGCTGGGCATCTTCGGTATTCAGGACCCTCTCCGAGCAGGCGTTTCGGATGCCGTGCACAGATGCCAGCGTGCTGGTGTGTTTGTCCGCATGGTCACTGGTGACAACATCATTACCGCCAAGGCTATTGCCCAGGAGTGTGGTATCTACACGCCTGGTGGTATCGCCATTGAAGGACCCAAGTTCCGCAAGCTGAGCACTCGTCAAATGAATCAGATTATTCCCAGGCTTCAGGTCATCGCCCGGTCTAGTCCAGAAGATAAGAAGATTCTCGTGAATCAGCTCAAGAAGCTTGGCGAGACTGTTGCTGTGACTGGTGATGGAACCAACGATGCTCAGGCTCTCAAGAATGCTGATGTCGGTTTTGCTATGGGTATCACTGGTACTGAAGTTGCCAAGGAGGCATCTGATATTATTCTTATGGATGACAACTTTGCATCTATCGTCAAGGCCATGGCTTGGGGTCGTACTGTCAGCGATGCTGTCAAGAAGTTCCTTCAGTTCCAGATCACAGTCAACATCACTGCCGTTATCCTGACCTTCGTCTCTGCTGTCGCTAGTGATAATGAGGATTCCGTGCTTAGTGCAGTTCAGCTGTTGTGGGTTAACTTGATTATGGATACTTTTGCTGCTCTTGCTTTGGCAACGGATCCTCCAACGCCGACTGTGCTCGACCGCAGGCCCGAATCGAAATCTGACCCGCTGATTACTCTGACCATGTGGAAGATGATCATCGGACAGTCCATCTACCAACTTGTTGTGACGTTCGTTCTGAATTTTGCTGGAGACACAATATTCTCGTGGGATCACGAACACATGCAGACCGTGGTGTTCAACACCTTTGTCTTCATGCAGATTTTCAACCAGTACAACTCCCGTCGTATCGACAATAAGCTCAACATCATGGAGCGTGTCTGGAAAAACCAATGGTTCATCGGCATTCAGCTCATCATCATCGGAGGCCAAGTCCTAATCATCTTCGTCGGTGGCGCCGCTTTCTCCGTCAAGCGACTCGACCAAGGCTCCCAGTGGGCTGTCAGTCTCGTCCTTGGCGCTATCTCTCTCCCCATCGCCGTAATAATCCGTCTAATCCCAGACGAATTCATCAGCCGACTCATCCCTCACTTCTGGTCCCGCGACAAGGGCCCCGAAGTAGTCGTCTCCGACGAAGACCGCAACTACGAATGGAACCCAGCCTTGGAAGAAATCCGCGACCAGCTCGCTTTCATCAAGCGCGTCCGCGGCGGCCGTCTCCGCCACATCCGCCACAAGCTGCAACACCCGCAGGACTTGCTTCCCCGGTCCCGCAGTGGCTCACGTTCAAGGGACTCTTCCTCCCCACCTACGCCAAACGGCGACAACGACAATGACAGCCCAACTCCGCAACCCCTCACCCCAGAGTCCCGCTCCAGACGCAATACCCGCTCCCGATCAAACTCGACCTTCGGCCCTGCCGCCGCCATGGCCGGTATCGTCGCTGGCAGTATTGCGGGATGGTCTCCCATCGAGCGTGGACATGGCGAAGCTGACTCGATCACTTTCCCCACTACGGGTGGTCCTCATGGTGGTTTGGATAGAGAGCCGGGCATTGAAGTGCATCCGGATACAGATGCCAATGATCAGCTCTTGAACGAGTACTCTGCTACCTCCAAAATCCCGCCAAGTCAGAACCCGGATCTTACTCCGTTCTTTGAACATGCTCCGCCGGAGCGCGCGCCTTCTAGCCGTGGCCGTCGTTCGATGTCTCAGCAGTCGAGATCTAGTCACAGCCAGTCGCAGTCGCAGGTGTAAATACTGTACCTGATTGAGCCTCTCCCTTTCTCCCTATCTCTATCCTCCATACCCTTTCCCTCATTCTCTCCGCCATGTTGGACTTGTAATTTTCATTATGTCTTTTCATTCTCCTTGTTGATTTGACTTGACACTGATTTCGGTGCACGAAAGGGCTGTGGCGCAACGCTTTTGGTTGTTCAAAACTATGCATAGACTCCGCTTGGGATTCTTACTATCATTTGCATGTTGGTTGGGCCTGATTTGGCTGGCCCTTTTGCTTTTCAAGGCGTATATGTAGGCGCCACTTAGCATACTTTTTTCCTTTTTAATTGTTCAATTCAAAATTCTCTGAACATATGCTTCATCATTCTTTTTTCATTTTTTCACCGGTGTCCATCTCAGTAGACTTGACCGCGGAATTCACCGCGCGGAGTTGACATCCTCCGCCCCACATATCTATAAGTACATCAACCTGAACCTCCGCTCTTCATGCTTCACTTCTTCCATTCACTCACATCTTCACCATGGCAACCTTTCCCTCCCAAGCAGAATTGCAACAATTCTACATCGGCAAAGACATCAAAGATGTCCCCAAACCAGCAGCAATCCTGGACGTAGCAATAATCCGCCGTCACTGCGAAACAATGCTCCAGACAGTAAAAACCCTCAACGTCGGCTTCAGAGCTCACGTCAAAACCCACAAGGTAAACAATCCCCAATCTCAAACATAAACATAACCCCCCCCCCCACCACCATCAGCCTAACATACAACCCCAGACACCGGAAATCGCCAAACTCCAAATCGGCAACAACCCAATAGCAAACTTCATAGCCTCAACACCCCTAGAGATCGAAACAATGATCCCCCTCCTGCAATCCCTCCAAAAAACCCGACCAACAAACATCCTCTACGGCATCCCCCTAGTCCCCTCCCAAATACCGCGCCTAGCAAAAATAGCAAAAAAACTAGGCCCAAACTCCCTCTCCCTAATGATCGACCACCCAGACCAACTCCCCTTCCTAGCAGATTTCGCCAGGGAAGCAGGGAGTCCAGCAAATATCTTCGTCAAAGTCGATACGGGATATCACCGCGCCGGCTTGCCACCATCATCTCTTAACAAGAACGGTCTCCTTGAGAAAATCTCCGCGGCTGAAGCTGCTGGTACTGCATTCTTACTTGGTTTATATTCACACAGCAGTCTCAGTTATAATGGCTCAACACCGCAAATTGCAATGAGCCATTTAATCGCTGAGATTAGGGGATGCAAAGATGCCCTGGAGAGCAATGCCCATCTCCTCCTGAAAGAAAAGAAACGGGAATTGGTTATTAGCGTCGGGGCTACGCCGCAGGTTGTTTCTTCGCAGAATTTGCTGCGTGATGATTCTTGTGTTGAAGCGCGTGAACTGCGTTCTCTGCTGAAGGATCCGGATCTGAATGTTGAGTTGCATGCGGGTGTTTATCCGATACTGGATATGCAGCAGGTTTCTACGAATGCTGTTGCTGGCCTTGGTGGGATTGAGGATGAGATTGCGCTCTCGGTTTTGGCGGAGGTCTGTAGTGTTTATAATGATGGCGAGCGGGAGAGGGCTGAGGCGCTTGTTGCTGCTGGGACGTTGGCGCTTGGAAGGGAGCCTTGTGGGGGTTATGATGGGTGGGGAGTTGTTTCGTCTTGGAGGAGGGGTGGGGATGGGGATGGGGATGGCAGGTTGGTTGTTCAGAGGATTAGCCAGGAGCATGCTATTGTTGCTTGGGAGGGTGGGCTTGGATTGGAGAAGATTCCGTTGAGGGTTGGGCAGGTTGTTAAGATTTATCCGAATCATGCTTGTGTTACGGGGGCTTATTATGGGTGGTATTTTGTTGTTGATTCTGATTTGGATGGGGAGGCTGCGAGGGTTGTTGATGTTTGGGTTAGGGCTAGGGGGTGTGCGATTACGGATCCGTTGTTGGATCCAAGGAGTATCTGATATGTGTTTGTGTTGAAGTTGATACATGCCTTGTCCTATGATATTCTCTCTCTCTCTCTCTCTGGTATTTGTTACAACCTAATCACCAACTCAATGGAAAGGACATTTTCCAGTCCGATAGTCCTTCATTTGACCCATAAATTCCTCCAACTCCTTCCTCCCCTTCCCCTCAAACCTCTTCGGCCCAAGATCCGGAATACTATACCCAGCAGGCGAATACTTATCACCCTCATCACCAGGGACAGGTCTTCCAAGAGCCCAGGTCAACCACGCTGTCGGGCCCCAGCGGTTCCAGAGCGTCGGCTTGACGTAGTACGGTGCCGCTTCCCATTTTGTCAGGAAGTACCGCTCAAACTCATCTGGCTCTTCGGTAAATGATTGATAGCGCAGGATGTGTGGTCTTGGGGGCATTAGGTGGCGGAGGAATAGCTTGCGGGTTGTTAGGAGGATTGAGAAGATCGTACTCCAGAATGGGGTTGGGGGATCGTAGCTTTTTGTTAGTTGCATTGTTAGTTGCTGGGTTGATATCGATGGATATGATATAGACCCGGTCGATGGCCATGCATATATCCATGATAGACCAGATGATGGCGGAAACGAAAGGGGGTTGGGGGTTGCATAAAACTCACAGCATAGCCCTCCTCAATCTCTCATCCATCATAAACGAAACAAACTGCAACCCCACAGAATGCATCACCGTCGGCAGCATATAAACCAACACAGCAGTCGTCTGATCCGCAACCTCGCGATTCTTGACATGGGGAACCATACAACGAGCCTCATACTCCTCGCACCATTCATCGATCTCCTCAATCCACTGAATACCATCACGGAACCCACTCTTCCCAGAAGGCAGCGGATCATAACTAATATCAAGAGCATCACCAGCACTCTTCCAAAATGTCCCAATAGCACACCGTTCCATCTCACTCAAAGAACGCCACTCAAACCGGTCAATAAACCGGATAGGTTGCAGAGCGAATAATCCTAGCGTGTAGAGCATATCCTCTTCGAGGATTTGGCCAGAGGCTCTATACCCGCGATGTAGGAACCTGGTACGCGCGAGACCGAGGAAAGCGCGCTTGGATGTTGGGTTGTTGCCGACCATTTCTTGGACAAGCGCGCTTGTGTCTGTGTAGCGTTTCAGGGATGTTACTGGGTTAGAGAATTGGCTTGTTTTTGTTAGGAGGGTTGAGATTGTCGGGATGCCGTAGGTCTTTTTTGTAGATTTAGTATATGTTGGATCAAAGTTTTTAACTGGTTTACTGGATCAATTGTTCATACCCTGAATAAGGCGAATTGGAGGGACTTGATGAAAATGAATGGGAATTCAAGTTGCGCGATTTGTTTTTGGATTTGAAAGGCGTGTTCGTCGGTCATTTTGGACATAGAGGCTCGGGTTGGGTAGGGATATTGTTTTGTGAGATTTCGTACGCGTCGGTTACGTAGCGTGCTTGCTAATACTGGCCAGGCGAGGAGGAGGCATAGCATGTAGGTGAGGAGCTTGTGCTGGGATGTGAGAGTTTTGACAGCCTCTGATAGAGGTGATCCCTGCGACACCAATATGGTGTTGTCCGTGGTGTCGGTCATGTTGGATGCGACGAAAATTTGTGGAGGAGGACTTTGCCCGCAGTCTCCAGGGTTGTGTTGAGGTTGAAGTCCAAGTAGAGGAGGGAAAGTTAAAGTCGGTGTAACGTTGGAAAGTGATCGGCGTTCATAGATCTCCCAAACACAGTCAAATGGAGGATGTTTGATATTTGCCACTGTTATAGGACCTGATCCGACAAGTCTACAGTCACTTCATAAATATTGGATAAATAATGAGGATATAAATCTACAGTCTTTGGTGTGGGAAGCGACCGGAGTTTTCGGATATACGGAACGCCATGCATATGCCTCCGACGATCGACCAACAGTAATGAAGATATTGATTATTAGGAGGGCCATGGGGGCGTAGGTGCATGACTGAGACTGATATGTTTTTTTTATTAGACCATTAACCGAAACCGCTTCAAAATCACAAGATATGAATGTATTTAAACAATTAGAGAGCCCTGTGCAGCTTGAATCATCCCACGCTCTTTATACTTTCCCCACTATATACTCTTTGATCTGACAGCGGTATCTTCACCCCCGACTCACTGTTCATTATTTTCAACCTTCACTTAGCGACCGATATACCGCAGCTCCAATGCCCGCAAGGGTGGGAAGGACAGCATTGTAAAGCCTGCGGCCAGCCAGAGACCCAAGTCAGCCCCATCAGTGAGCCTCGCGATTGGGCCTGTATAATATGCTTGAGACTAGAGTCATAGTTTAGCATTATACAGTTCAGCGGGACTTGGAAACACAACATACCATGCCTACAATCGCACCAGCCCATCCAACAAAGAAAGAAACACTCGCCGCAAGCCCCATGGGCAGTTGAGCACGAGTATTCCAAGCAGACCAATCGTATCCTTTCCGCCGACGGAAAATAGCATCCTCTTGCACGACAATCACAAAGAAGATGACAACCCAGTATCCAATGAGAGGCAAGAAGGATTTGAAGACTTCGTAAAGAGAGTTGCGACCTCCCATCGCGCACGCAGCGTAGACAACCGTGGCGAGAGTCGTAGAGATAGGTCGTGGGATCTTGCCGAGGAACCCACCGAGCATTTGCAAGTTCATGCCCATGGAGTAAGCCCCTGGAGTGTTATTCGCGACCAAGGCAAGAACGTTGATCACAGCGCAGACTTTACCAAAACCGCCCAGACTGTCGTAGGCTGTCATCAGCACGCCGCCGGGGCCGGTGCCATATTTGTTAGAATAGTATGCTGAGCTCGCTATAACAGTGCCTAGTCCCATGCCAACAAGGAGAGTGATAGACATGGCCTGGGCGGAACCGAGGACGGTCACCAGGAACGTTCGCCAGCGCTTCATATGGGGTGGATAGTAGACGTAATAGTCTGCGGCGAGGGGAGCCCATGCGAGAGCAATAGACAGAATTAGAGAGAAGAAGGTGATGCGCTTGGCGCTGAGAGACTCTGGCGAGGCTGTTTGGATATTGAAGTCGAAGTGAGGTCCTGCTGAGCCCAGCATGACGCAGATTACCATGAGCTGGGGTAGCCAAGCAACTCTGCAGTCTGGTTAGTTTGTGCTGGGGCGCATGTATGTGGCTCTTACCGTTCATATATTTGGAAGATGCGCATGCCGAATAGTGCCATGACCAAGCTTGAGCCTGCGATGATAATGATGCCAACTATGACTGATAAATGGCCACCGGAGACCATTGATAGGATCTGGCCACCGACGACACTGTTCACCATGCTGTACCCGATATTGGTGAAGACGTTGAGGGCACAACAAACTTTGCTTGGATAGTAGCCCATGAAGTAGCGGGCCACGATCTGTCGAAGTGATTAGTACTCGATCTTGCAAACACATATGACAGATCCACATACCAAGGTTCGGTTTCCACTTCTAGGACCCCATGTACTCATATAACCAATAGTGGAAGTACCGACTATACACCCAAAAATGGCACATAAAGCCGCATCTTTGAAGCTGAGACCTAGGACAAGTGTGCCCATCGACCCGACGACAATATTATTTGTAGCAAGTGTCATACTAAACCACATGAGCATCATGTGCAGCGAAGTTGACGGCGTAACTTCCTCCCGCTTTTCAAGGGGAACAGGCTCAATGCCCCTGCTCTCCATACCCTTTAAGCCAGCAAGACATCGCTGGAACATTGATTGGGGCGGCTGAATCTCAAGTTTTTCGACAACTGTAGCATCGGAGGAGCTGTTGGAGGCGCTTTTATTGAGTTCAAACTGAGCTACGCTCTCAATGGACGGTGTGCTGTAGGCCTTTTCGACATCTTCAGGCTTCATTCTTGAAAGGAGAGAGTTGGCGTCGAGGCAAGTTGGTAACAATCCGTTAATGGAACCCTTTGATCCGTTCATAAACAGAGCAACTTGGGCTCGCAAAGAACTTGGCGGTATATACTGGATGTCGCAAATCTACAGCTATACAAAGATCAGAGAGAAAGAGAATCACCGGTGTAACGTGAGGAGGAGGGGAGCTCTGGCATGATAGATATAGGGAAAATGCTCCCAAGGCCAGTGCGTCGTCCTCCTCAGGCTGTTGGACCTGACATCACCCTGTCTTGCCAGTCGGGTGTACGACCCCAGGGACCCGGAAATGGGCATTCCTCAGCAATCAAGGCACCGAGAAGCTCATTAGCCAATAGGGAATACAAGAATCACATCAAACATAGACCCGGATTACTCCCCGGTGAACACGGTCCATAGCTCATGAACTAATCATCTGGTATCAAGCATCATCCCAGATTCAAATAGCATCATATCCAAACACCCCCAAGCACTTCATCGTAGGGTATCATAAGAATGGTAGGTGACAACTGTTCACCCTGTGCCCGTGATCCGCGCAATACTTCCATATGAGGTAAGTAGCATACTGGAAAGCTCCGACTATGCATCCTGCGGAATGCTAGCAAGGGCGGCTTTCTAATGATCTTATACGATGCTCAGATTTGTGAACCAGGTCTGCGGGGCGAGGGTGATCTACTAAAGCTCCGCTCTGCTTCCGCGAAAAATGTCTTCTAGTTGTCCTGTGATTGATCCGAAGAACTATCCACCATCTTTTTTGTGGTGATTCGCTCCAGATGGTGTGAGAGAGGTCTGAGGGAAGGGGTTAACACCGAGTAGTCTTTCTATTGGTTTACTTTGCTATTGTTCATAATTTGGCTTGGAGAACTCGCTTGTCATCGGCGTTACCCTATAGCCCTCCCGGGGAACACTGGATCTTTACTTCGTAAAGTATATTATTGCATGAATGCTTAAACATATGAACCGCAGACATTCCCGCTACATCCTGTTGCTCATAGCGTTAATTGTAGATCTCGGACATTTGTGAGATCCCTAATTATGCATACTACGTAGCGCCTCTACCTCAGATATGTTTCCGCAGGTTTTACAGCCAAGCTTTCCTCCCGTTGACCCACAAGCCGGAATCCGTGATCGTGAAGCCGAGACAGTCCCATTTTTACCGCGACAAAATGTGCGACTTAAAGAGATGCCGATTCTCCTAAGTGTTATTTTCCCTTTCGGGTAAAGTCAACATTTTTATTGCCGAGTTTATGACGCGTTCTCCACATGAGCTACTTGTAGTTCGAGTATGCTTAACTTATCTGCTATTCATATCTTCTAGGGTTAGCTCCACATCAAAACAACTCCAGGACGTTGTCAGTATGAGAGATTTGTTATTATCTGCGACGATAGACATAGGATCGGGAGTAAGTTGAGTGCTGCCTTGATTATATAGTTGGGGATTCTCAAGGCTATTTAGACTTTTTGTTGGTCTATGCTTTATCTGCAATGTATGTAGCTCCAGTTCGAATAGGATGATCCGGTTTGTAATGTATTAGTACTCTCTTCGTACGGATAATAATAGCTATTAATGATGTCAAGCTGGTGAACATCAAATTAGATGATGTTGGATGATGGACATGATGTTAGAATAGGTTCTCTTATGACGGAATGAAGAGGTTATTAGTCCCATGTGAAAACGAAGAAGTCTTCAGCGCACGTCCTACCTAGGCATATATCTGAAGAAAGACGAAATAAAGAAGTTGTTAATATCAATTGACCTTTACATTGTCCTATTTAACTCTACCTGTTTAGGCCAAGAAACTTTGGAAACTGTTCATATATAATCGGACCTTACTCGTCCCTTGGGAAAGAATTTCTGTTCGAATACGTCCAACAGAGTCGTCCTCAAGCCTCAAAGCAAATCAGCTCGGCGCATAGCTATAAAATTCCCTGTAATACGTGTGATTAGATTGTTCACTCTAAATTTCTTTTATATTAAATACCGAATGGGCTTTCTAAAAAGCTAATCGCCTAGTCCGTTTTCTTCCTACTCGAGGTGTAGCAGTCTAGGTTCCTGTGGGGAAGAAGATAAGTCCTTAAGTCTGTCTGGGATAATATTCTGACGAGGGCTAAATGAGGAAGGCGTGTATTGCGGCTGAAGAGCAATCGAGGTAGCTTAGAGAAGGTGTATATAAAGAATCCTAGTTCGTGGGGTTAGAATAATGAGCCTTTCAATCCTCTAGGCATCCAATGAGGCTTCAGTGATTAAGATTTTGATGAAGAGTGTTTTGATGTTGTTTCTCTTGGCTGTCTGATTTATGCAGTGGTAAATGCTTCCGAAGGTTTAAGTACGTTTCAACTTCTTCACCTATCCTTTCAACACTCACAACAAAAGCCATCCTACATCCTTCACCAAGCTTGAATTTGAAAGAGTACGCCACCCAAGTCATCATTGAAGCCGAGTCACAAGCTGGGGCAACAACAGTGCCAGGCAGCTCCTCGTGTGACCTCGGCAGCGTCACCCCTTTCAACAAATCAAGTCGAGCCTGAAAATGACATATCAACAAATCAAAATGTCAGCGCCGGCCCCGAAGACCTCTGAGAGTGATAACGAAGGCCAATATCAGAACGTGAAAGTCTGGGGTACCTCCGTCGGGAAACTAGATGAGGAACTTTGGGACTGTGAACACCTAGCCATCAAGTAGAAGGTCTAAATGATAGTCTAGCCTAATTTGAAAGAGCCGAATCTATATATACCTACTTGAAAACTATATCCATGGATCTTACCTGAAGTCATTAGGGCAAGACACGTTATTCTACTAGGACGTACTATGCCATATCATCACCTGGGCACCTTCTCGCGGTTGACGTTTTCTTCGTTGAGTAGATAAGGCAGTATAAAATCGAATTACAATGCCCAGGACCAGGAATATTCGATGCTGTGTTTCCATGCTTCCATATCCCGGTGTATACAAAACAAGAAGACGTAGTGAAGGACGGAACTAAAACATAACCAAAATCACTGAGCCAAACCATAGCAACTCAACATACATACTACATCCAAGGATTAGACTACAGATTAAGATGTGGAAAGTCATATTGCCAATTGCTTTTCCACTATGTGCTATTCTGGAGGGATCGAACAAATCACCCAAGCCGAGTAGGAAGATAGACAGAAAAAATGTAAATTAGGAGCGCTCAAACAAATTGGATTCGGGGCGCAAGCCCACAAAGCCGGTCCGAATGGTAGAGAATGTAGGCTTGACAAGGGTATTATGAACAAATCTCAGGGAGACTTATTTAGACCTCCTCGTCGACAACGTCCTCAGCGAGGCTAGAAAGAATAGTTAGCGGTAATTCGCATTTAAAAGGGACGGGGATGCTTACTACTCCTCCTCGCCCTCGGAGATGGAGGCCTCCTGGTACTGCTGGTACTCGGAGACAAGGTCGTTCATGTTGCTCTCAGCCTCAGTGAACTCCATCTCGTCCATACCCTCACCAGTGTACCAGTGCAAGAAAGCCTTGCGACGGAACATAGCAGTGAACTGGTCACCGATACGCTTGAAGAGCTCCTGGATGGAGGTGGAGTTTCCGACGAAGGTGGAAGACATCTTGAGGCCACGAGGGGGAACGGAGCACAGAGCGGTCTGGACGTTGTTGGGGATCCACTCAACGAAGTAGCTCTGGTTCTTGTTCTGGATGTTGCGCATCTGGTCCTCAACCTCCTTCATGGAGACCTTACCGCGGAAGAGAGCAGAGCAGGTGAGGTAACGGCCGTTACGGAAGTCGGAAGCAGCCATCATGTTCTTGGGGTCGAACATCTGCTGGGTCAACTCGGGAACGCTGACCTGGCGGTACTGGTAGCCGCTGCGGCTGGTCAGGGGAGCGAAGCCGACCATGAAGAAGTGCAGACGGGGGAAGGGCACCATGTTGACGGCGAGCTTGCGGAGGTCGGAGTTGAGCTGGCCGGGGAAACGAAGGGAGGTGGTCACACCGGACATGACGGCGGAGACGAGGTGGTTCAGGTCACCGTACGAGGGCTGGGACAGCTTGAGGGTACGCATGCAGATGTCGTACAGAGCCTAAATTTCGTCAGTAATGAGCCATTGCTGGTTCCCACGCATTGCATACCTCGTTATCGATACAGAAGGTCTCGTCGGAGTGCTCAACGAGCTGGTGGATGGAGAGGGTGGCGTTGTAAGGCTCAACAACGGTGTCGGAAACCTTGGGAGAAGGAACGACGGAGAAGGTGGCCATCATACGGTCGGGGAACTCCTCACGGATCTTGGAAATCAGGAGTGTGCCCATACCGGCACCAGTACCACCACCGAGGGAGTGGGTGATCTGGAAACCTTGGAGGCAGTCACAAGATTCGGCCTCACGGCGGACGACATCGATGACCTGGTCAACGAGCTCGGCACCCTCAGTGTAGTGACCCTTAGCCCAGTTGTTACCAGCACCGGACTGACCGAAGACGAAGTTGTCGGGGCGGAAAAGCTTGCCGAAAGGACCGGAGCGGACAGCGTCCATGGTGCCGGGCTCCAAGTCGACGAGGACGGCACGGGGAACATACTTGTCACCGTGGGCCTGAGGGGTCAAAACATACTAGTCAGATAATGCTTAAGCAACCAATTATAACATATTGTACTCACATGGTTGAAGTAGACGTTCATGCGCTCGAGCTGGAGGTCGGAGGTACCGTTGTACCTAACAAGATATCAGCTGCCCAATCCACCACAAGAAATCCCACATTGAACTTACTGTCCATCGCCATCGAGACCGTGCTCACCGGAGATGGTTTGCCTGTAATCCAGTCAGAAAATTGTGAACCAATGACGCGAAAAAAGTTTCAATATATGTCTGCACGTACCAGAAAGCGGCACCAATTTGGTTACCCTGTCATCCAAGTCCAATTTAGTCCCAATCCAAAAGCCGTTCGCAAAGGTATCCATCGTCAAGGTCGAACTTACACACTGGCCGGTTTGGAGGTGAACCTATGGAGCATTGGGGGTTAGCAAAAGATCTGTTTAGAACGGGTGGGGGTGGTTCAGGGGAAAGAAAACAAAAGACATAAACGCGTCTATTGGGGACCACATACAATCTCACGCATCTTGAAGGTGAATCCGTAGGAAAATAGGGGGAGTATCGACTGGAGAGGATAGGGAGAAGGAGAAAGAGAGAGGATGGGTTGAGCGGTGTGTGTGGGATCAACAAGTCAACAACTGATGGGTTCAGGGGGGGGATGCCTGATTGGGCATAGCTCCATCACGGGACTTCGGGGGAGGTGCGAACCACACTTCACTTTTCTTTGGGCGCGTGGAGGACAACAACAACTCTTCGTTTACACTACGCTTATACTACACTTGCACCGTCATACTCTTTCAGTGCTTCATTGTCACTCTTACACTATTGTACATCGGGTATTCGCTTAGAAATTTGCAGACATTAACCTCACTTCACCTCACCACACCGCACCTCCCCGCACCTCACCGCACCTTCCTATCTCATCCTCTTCACTTGTACGTTCACTTGCCCTCGAGAAAATCTCCGAATCGGTCAAGACGCTTCTGCTCCTCTGCCTCGGTATCAATTCCCTCGAGGGCATCGCGTTGGGTGCCAGACCTGCGGTATCTCTCACGGCTGGTTTGGACGTAGGCGACAACTTCGAGACCGCTGAACTTGCGACCAGAAAAGGCCTGGAATATGATTAGTAGCTGTAATGATCCAGATCAAAAATAATAGCATACCTCGACACAATTGCGGGCAGCAGCTGGATCCTTAAAACGGACAGTGACCACCCCCTCGGGCTCAAGGTCGTAAAGCACAGTGTTGGTAACCTCGCCAAACTTTTCACACTCATTGCGGATATCCTCTTTGATTTCAAGAATGGCAGCTGGGTCGTCCTATAATTCATGTCAGCGAGGACTCAGTCATCCATTACACGGATGGGTAACCCACATCCAGTTCCTTAAGCGTGAACATGTGCTTCAAAGTGACCATGTGGGCATACTTGTTGTAGACTTGGCCCTCCTCTTCGGAATCCCAGCAGCCGAGTTTCCTGTACAAAGGAAGTCAGCATAGCATCCCCGAAGTTGAACGCTGATCACATACTCGTTGAATCGCTTTGCGCGCTCTGCAATTTTTCGCTGATCCGTCTTGGACCTGGTCGACTGCTTTTGGTTCTGATCCGGCTGATTCGCCTCATCACTCTTCCAGGCAGCATCGGCGGCCTGGACTCGCATCGGACCATCGGGCCCGGTGACACCATAACGGAAATCCGTCTCATCGAGCATCTGGATCGCAATGTCTACCGACTCAGACCGGAAGTACACGACCAGGGCGTCGCCCTTGAAGTTACCAGCTTCATCCTCGTACATCTTGATCCGAGGCTTTCCGGTGTCGATCTCCTCAGTGATGAGTCCGAACTTCTTGAAAACAGTATTGATTTCCTCCATGGTCGCGTCGAGGGGGATTGAGGTGACATAAACGGCGCAGTTCACGCGGGGCTTCTTCTGCTTCGGCTCATTGGCCTGGAAAGGGAGAAAGTTCTTTCGTTAGCGTCAACCCAAGAAAAGCGAAATCTGCGACTCTTACCGCGTCATGGTTCTGCTTTTTGCGCTTGCGATCCCGGGGGTGAGCGGGCTCAGTCTCGTCGACGCCTTCGACCTTGTAGGCCTCCTGCTGCTGGCGCAAGAGCTCCTCGTCGATCTAGAAGGAACGTCGAATTAGCACCAAGAACGTCATGAGCAACCCAAGCTGGCATTCGGCCGCCGCCAGGGAGCAAGAGAAGGGGCCTACATACCGACTCGACCCAGCGCTTGATACCGGTATCCCAGAGGAACTCACGGTCATCATCAGTCTCCAGAATGTACTGGTTGTCAAGCTTGGAGAAAGACACGCGCGGATCCTTATCGAACTCCGACGGATCAGTAGGGAAGCTGCCCGCAGGCACGGAGCCTGCACGGCTCGCAGTTTCAGAGGTTCCCGAGTCCATTTTGACAAATGACTGGTTGAATGAGGTTTTTGGGACAAAACAAATGGGTATGGGATTATTCAATTCCGCGGAGGTGGAGAAGAATGGCGGAAGTTATTTGGCGGGGCGGGATTTCGGAATATCACTGAGCGCGGAGCGGCACATGTGACAGCTCCGGGCGGGCCCACTTTGACCAACGACTCAGTCAACTGGCAGGTACCTAATCAGGAAGGCACCACCCTGGGTATGGACACCAGTCTTGCCCACGTGGCCATCTTAATTTATTCATGCACACTGGGAAATTAGGCGACATGCTGTATGCATATACATACGTAGACTTGCCATCAACATCCCGTGAAGACAAGTTGGGCCATGCAACAGCGAATACCACCTACATGTATAGCGAATAAAAATCTGTGCAATAGTTACTTTGGCTATAAGCAAGATTTACTAGATATACAGAATCCTTTGTGCTTTTTATATCTACTTGTTCCTCTGAAAGGCTTTTTTTTGATTAGTGATATTTGGGTATCAGAAATATGCTAACAAAGTGAAGAATGGAATACCCTTTATCCAGAAGAATATCCTAAAAGGAACCTGCAATTTTAAAGAAAACACCACACCGAAAATGAAACCGGTAGAAAGAAAAGGCGAAAAGAGAAAGGAAAATGACCACAAATGATAGAAAGAGGCAAACAGCCCGAGTATTAAGTATTAAGGAACAAGTCAGCCCAAAAGAACGAACATGCTGATTAGGCCTTGGTGTCAATGGTTGCGTCCTCTCCGGTGGGAGTCATGGTGCGCTTGGAGCTAGTCTCCGCGGCCTCCACGCCGTTGACAACGTCACGGCGGATCTCGACGTAGTCGTAAGCGAACTCGCCAATCTCGGCATCGTCAATACCCATGATCTCATCTTCCTCAGGGGCACGAAGGCTGAGGCCGGGGATGAGGTTAATCAGGAAGAGGATGAGGCAGGTTCCGAAGAAGGAGTAGGCAAAGCCAGACACGGAGTCGGCAAGCTGGTAGCCGAGCTGGACCCAGTGGTGGTTAATCCAGCCACCGGCAATCTCAGTACCGTCAAGAGCGGCAATGTAGTTTCTGGAGAGACTGTTAGCTTATAGTTCAGCGTGGTCAAGATAGAGTGCAACTTACGCAGCGAAGAGACCGGTCAGGAGGTTTCCAACAAGACCACCAATGGTGTGGACAGCAAAGATATCGAGGGCATCGTCAATGCCAATGAGGAATTTGAGCTTGGTAGCGTAGTTGCAGGCAACGGCACCAACAACACCAAAGATAAACGCAGCCCAGGGAGTGACAAAGCCAGAGCCAGGAGTAATGGCAACAAGACCAGCAATGACACCAGAGCAGAAGCCAACGGTAGACCACTTGCGCTCCAGACGGTAGTCGAGCAAACACCAGGTCACACCTCCGACAGATGCGGCAAGGTTAGTGACAACGGCGGCCATGACAGCGCGGAGGTTAGCCGAGAGAGCAGAGCCAGCATTGAAACCGAACCATCCAACCCAGAGGAAGACTGTGCCAATGACGACGTGCGTGACATTGTGAGGGCGGTAGTTGAGCTCGTGGGTTCCGTGACCGCGACGCTTGCCCAGCATCAAGGAGTAGGCCAGGGCAGCAGATCCGGAAGCAATGTGGACGGGGGTACCACCGGCATAGTCAAGACCTCCGAGCTTGTATACCCAGCCCGCCGGGTTCCATGTCCAGCAGGCAATGGGGTCGTAGATGATGGTGGTCCAGATGAACATGAAGATAATACAGGGGAGCATGCGGCCACGCTCGGCGACAGCACCGACTGCGAGAGCCACACTAATTGCGAAGATATTGTCAGTGTGATTTCTTTTGCGGTTTTGACGTTGTGTGATACTCACGTAATGGCAGCGAACATGCCCTGGAAGATGGCGAACAGAAGGTCGGGAACCTTGCTGCTTCCAACAGATGGAGCAGCCAGAACGTTGCGGAAGCCGAAGTTCTCGAGATCACCGATATATTTACCAGCTGAGTGGGAAAAGGCCAGCGAATAACCCCAGAAGAACCATTGGAATGAAACTACTCCGACCGACATTATAGACAGCCATATCAGGGAGAGGGCAGACTTTCGTCGAGCGAGACCAGAGTAGAAGAATCTATGAGAATGCAGTTAGTGAATGTTCTCCTGAAATGAGGAAATATAATCAATTCATACCCAACTCCAGGAATCATAAGCAGCACAAGGGCTGATGAGGTGATTACCCATGCGATATCTCCAGACTACATTATCATTATTAGTTGACAGTTCCACTGGCTGTGTGTGATAGGCTGAATAATAGCTGCGTACACTGTAAAACATGTTCAAGTCCTCAGTGAGCGAGTCACCACCGGTGGCAATGGTGCCATTGTACTCAACCGGATACGCCGACATAGTGAAGGCTGTGTACCACAGAAGAGATAAGGGTACGAGTTATCTGCAGTGAAGTGACACAGATCTCAACAATCCAAGATCTAGAAAGAGGAAGGGCGGGATAAAAAAAGATCCTGTTCAAGCACCTGGCTGAATAAAAGGAGAGAAAAGTGATATGTCTACCCTGCAGGGACACGAGATAATTAAATAACAGACCGGAATTGCTCCACACAAAGCTACCAGACCATCGATCTTAGTTCCGATAGCGGGAGCCGGTTATTATGATTTATGAAATGATTCATCTGATCAGACTGATAGCAGTAGCCAAGTCAGCCCACTGAGCCATGTCTGGGTCTATGGGCGGGGCCCCGTACGTACTCCCTAGTCTTTAACCGGGGGAATACGGGTCCGTTTCACATACATTCACGGGCATATACTTCTAGTCTTCTTTGAGATACGGAGTAGTATACTTAGCATAAGATCTGTGGCATTGTTTACACAGAATTGTATGCCTGTTTGCTCTGCTGCTTCTGTCTAGGAACTATAACCCCCTGACGGAAGAATGCATCTCGGAGAACATGTAAGCATTAGGCCCCGATAAGCAGGGGAGGATAATAAAGTGATAGACAGATTGGGTCATTTCAGTGACGAGAGTAATAGGGAAGAAATCGACATTGCAGGGCTGACAGTGGTCCACGACTGGCTGTAGATATGACCAAACTGGCCAATCAGAGCCATTTGCTTATCTCGACTTAGGGCTTCCAGGCTTGGTTACTTGTACATCGCTTAACCCGCAATACAATTCGCTCTACTTCCTTATTGTCAAGCCATGAATGCTCCAAAATTAGAATTAGATGCCTATAGGATTCCAGTCGAACCATCCTACCTTGCCGTGGAAGGTGAAGCTGTAGGCCATTGGGGCTCTTATCATAGCCATCCCGTCAGCCAATCAACGTGCAATATACCTTATCAGAGCTAGAGACCGGACTATGCGAGGGATATATTATTCTTATTATCGAGCTTTCCGCCAGCTCACGGTTCTTGTTTCGGAGTGCGCCTCGTAATATCAAGAGCCTGCCATGGATACGAATGCTCGGATATTAAATTGGTGTAATTTCCAAGGTATTATGCATAGAAGATACTGAGTGCGCCATGTACAGTGCTGTACATGGTTCTAGCATATGCCCGACTAACACCGACACCTGTCTCCCGGTACTGTCCCGGTTCCACACGGATTGAACAGAGAACGCATGGGGGCGAAAGACTAAAGCCTTCCATGCGGTTTGGGGGCTTGAGTCAAGATAAGCATGTTGTCTCCCATTGGCGGGGCCGCTCTTCGGCATCCCGGGTCTTAGCGCCCCGGGCCCGCGGAAACTGTAGTACATGCATGGTATGGAGAATACTCTGATATGCATCTCATTACGCTATTGATACTCCTGGCTTCCTATTAATAGTAATAGTATAGTGGAATATTGATCACCGTAGCCAAGTATTTCGCAAGTCATGATGTGTGCTTTGCATGAAAATAGTTTTCGATCATATGCACAGTGCAGTCTGCAGTATCCATTCAGAAACAACGAAGTCGTCATTGCGTGAATTCAGTCCGTGCAGATCTTCTCCAGGGCCCCAGTCAACTGTCAGTTAATCGACCCTTGAGCTCAAATCGGATCCACTGATCGACGGCCTTCAAGATCGTCGACGATCAAGCGTGGATGCAAAGCCCTTCTAGTCAGGGGTAGTTCTTCTAAATTTATAAATCGTAAGACGTAGTGACGTTTACATGGTGTGGGCACATGATGACATGTACTCGTAAATTAAGTTTAATGTAGTTTATACAGTACGTAGTAGAGATGCATGCTGTATGAAGTGTACTTCTAGACTAGTCAATCTAGTAATCTCAAGCGTTCTACATGTTGAAGACTATTGCCAAAATTGCTTTTTTAGATTCACATTGGTTGCTTCGATGAGCAGATCATCCCATCCTTCGATAAGCATGAGGTACTTGTCCATCTCCTTCTGGTCTTAGATCATCAAAACAATGGAGCTATTAGATAGGCTTTTTGACGCATGAATGATCGTTTTTTGTATCAATGGTTTTTTTTCGGAGCAAACCCTGTGCTCTTTGCACCTTGCTATTCTGTTCGATCTGCATTCAGTGATCGCCACGGATGCGAGTCAAGCCACATTTGGGAAATATACACCACCACTTGCCAGTACAATGGGCCTGTCGTATTCCCTTGCTTTGCCAACGCAGTCCATTAACCTGATACATGCTGGTCCGTCTCATCGCGAGGAAGACATAACATTATCATCAGTCGCAACCTAGATGAATGGAACCTTGGGTCAATCCACAACGCTGTTTGGTGGTGGATCGCCATGCCAGCCTTGGATAGTTTGCTTTTTTAGTAGTTTACTGGCCTTGCTCGCCAGGTAATCGGCAACCAATCAGTAGGCATACAGCTACCATACAGATCCCTGTTTGTGCTGCTTTCTCTTGCTTAAGCAAAGAGTCCTGTCAGCGTATCTCGGAGGAGACGCCATATCCCTGCTAGAAAATCACATCATTAGGTAGACCCAGCGATCAGCATCAGCCGGCAGTCGCGGACTATTAAGACACGCTTTT